AACTAAAGCAGTGCTTTCAGATAAAGAAAGATTCCAGACATCTTTTAAACTCAATAGACATTCGTGCACTAATTAAAAAAATCTATAAGGTGATCATTAATTTTGCTATAGGAATTAAACATCAGCACTGAAGCTGTAGCATAAGCCAAATAAAGCTATTCATGCAAAGATTCTCCTAATGGCAAATTAAATTATATTCCTCTATAAGGCTGGGGTGATCTTATGTCCCGGTTACCTGCTGAATAGGATGTTTTGACTAAATGACATTTAGTAATAATTACACTCATTTTGCCTCATCTATATTCCGTTAAGGATTGACAATCTCATTGCTGCTTTATTGCACAGCAGCCAGCTTGCAAGCCCATTCCCATCAACGGGTTCTGTTCAATGCCATCAATTTTCTTCAGTTGAGTGAGCTTCAGGACACCCTTATGTCTCCCATCTTACAGCTTTTTAACCTTTGTTCTAAAACAGGAGTCTGCAAGCTGTGGCTCTGGGGCCACATGCAGCTATTTAGTCCCTCGTCTGCGGCTCTTTGAAGCTTTGGCCAAAACATACATGAAATTTAATGGTACTGATTAGACCTGTCGCGATAAACAAAAAATAAATTAATCGCATGATAAATGAAAATTATCAACCTCGTTTTCATTAATCGGCTTTATCGTTTCTTCGTGTCTCTCTCTTTCTACTGAAGACACTGGATGATAAAAGTCTCAACTCCGGTGCTCTTCACTGACCCCTCCCTTTCTCTTTAAAATCTGTTTTAACCGTCCAAAATCACATTTTTTGGATCGTTGAAAGCAACTAAGCTGAGAAGCTAAGCTACGAGCTAAGCTAACAGGCCAACCTTGGTTAAAACAAAAACTCTGTCTTGTCGAAGCTCCAAAATTCATGGCTGAAACCTGCGCCTTTGTGTAAAATGTTGTTTTTCTCTGCAAAAAGAAGCTGAAAACTTGTTTACTTTTTTAAATTAAAATCTTTGTGTGAAAAATGCTATGCTAAAGAGCTCAAACCAAACCGAGCGCCTGCCATTTTGAGAACTAAAGAGAGACAGCCCATGTCACATCAAGGGGCCTCCCTCCCATTTTTCTTAAAGAGACACGCTGCTCGCTCCCTCACTAGCCATCCTTCGGTTCAAACAGTCTTATATTGCCATCCGGTGGTCGAAAAAAGGTACTACATGCAAAACAAATTAAACATTTCTTCTTAAATTTGACAATATTTACTAATTATTGTCAAATTTCAAACAATATTATAATTTATCGCAATAATTTCTGAGACAGTTAATCGCACAGCAAAATTTGTTATCATGACAGGCCTAGTATTGACTTTTATACCCACAACAGAACAGTTTTTGGCAGTTATTTAAATTAATTTGTTCGTTGATTTTTATTTTCTGCAAATATTTGAATGATACTACGCTTTTTTTAGTTTTATTATTTCAAAGTAGGAAACCTAATTTATTTTTTCCTCACAGAAAAGGACTCACCTGGGCCTGCAGCGTTGGGTGTTTTAATGGTTTTTTTTTATCAGTATAAACTGTAACTGTTTTCCTACTTTACATATGATCTTTTTTTGTCCTAAAATATAAAAATATTAAATGTTAGTCTTTATATCCATCCATCCATCCATTTTCTTTACCCGTTTATTCCATTTTGGGTCACGGGGGTCGCTGGTGCCCATGTCCAGCAATCACTGTGCTAGGGGCGGGGGACACCCTGGATGGGTCGCAAGTCCATCACAGGGACACATAGAGACAAACGAGACAAACAACCATTCACTCTCTCACTCACACCTAAGGGCAATTTAGAGTTACCAATCAGCCTAACATGCATGTTTTTGGTCTGTGGGAGGAAACCGGAGCACCCGGAGAAAACCCACGCATGCACGGAGAGAACATGCAAACTCCACCCAGAAAGGCCCCCGGACCGGGGTTTGAACCAAGGACCTGCTCGCTGAGAGGCAGCAGCTCTACCAGTTGCGCCACCGTGCTGCCCTAGTCTTTATATATTTTTAGTTTTATAATGTCACCCCCACTGACCAGAAGTGCCTCCCTCTAACAAACTCGAAGTGGCCCATGGGTCATCAGTTGATTATCACAGTTATAGCAGGTTTTGCAGCTCTGCACACGTTTCATTTAGTAAGCGAAGGGGCAGAAATGGCTCTTTTGCTAAAAAAGGTTGCAAACCCTGTTCTAAAAGTGACAATATTTATGTTTTCTTTATAAAATCTGGTGTTTTTAAAGGGTTAGTTCTACTATTGTAAAAAGGACTAAACATTAGGAGTAAATTTATTGTTTTTTACTTTCTCCTCACCCTGCTACAAATATCTCCAAGTCTCCGCCTCCATCTATGTCGGTGACAGCCACGCCGTAGTTGAGCTGGGTGGGGTTGTTGTCGTAGTCCGGAGGAAGGACGGTCTTGGTTATAGCTGAGAACATGGGCTCTGATCGCTGAGCCCCAGAGTGGGCAGGGAGGATGAGAAGGAGGCACAACAACATCCTCACCTGAGGAGCGAAGCACACTGTAAAATAAAACGTGTCATTTTATGACTGCTCATTTGTCTTTTCATTTTCGTCAGATAAAATGCATGGGTTGTGACGCAGCTTATAAAAATATCAAAGCACAGCTCTGCTTTTTATCTGCTCTGCAAGCCTTTATCATTTTGACTGGGTAAATAAAAATCAAATAAAAACAGTTACACAAATTGTAACACATCGGCAGAGTTTTCTGCTTATACCCAGACATAAAGATGAAGATATATTACTGAATCAGCGGCGTTCTGCAGGGTTAGATCTAAGCAACTCTTCACATGTAGGCAGCCTGAGGGGACTAGAGGACAGAAAATCCATACATGGAGCAGAGCTTGTAGAGGAAACCAATATAACCTGATACAACAGGCTTGAGATGCTGCCAAAAGGTCTTCTCAGACAAATGCAATAAAAACATTTACAAAATGGGAGGGGGTGGGGGGGAAGAGAAAGGTCACCTTCTTAAAGCTTGAATTAAACTTTACGCACAACGCTCACACCCTAAATGGTGTTTACAAGCTGACAAGTTGATTTTCTCCTGGTGTGGATTTATGAACGCAGCCTCAGCCCGTTCCATCTGTGGTGCCACGGAGACGCTCCCGTCTCCGCATCCAGACTGCTGCATATTCTCCCTTTCAGCTCAGAGTGTCCAGGTGATATATGGCTCCTTAAACAATTCAATTTAAGATGGAACTACTGGGCTTTTTGGGAGCCTTGCTCTGTGCACGACTGCTACGAGAGGACACCTGCAGAAATGCATCTTTGGTTTCGTAGCAGTGCAGGGATAGAAGCTCTGACTGTTGGCAAATGGGGTTAATTAACAGTTTTTCTCCATTATAGTAGGATGGGATGACAAATGAGCTGAGCTTCCGAAATAAGTTAGACTCAGAGATGGAAGCACTGAGAATAGAGGAAACTTGAAGAGTAAGGAACTGATAAGATAAACTTCATTTTCTCTTAAAAAACTGGCTGATGATTGGCTGAATTTTAGTGTCTGTACATGTGAGGATATAAATGGCATGAAGATGTATTCCCTTAATACATTTTAGTTGGACAAGTGTCTAAGGGTTGAGGAAAGTGTCATAAATCATCTACTTTGTGTCTCAAATGTGGCAGGACGAATGGTCAAATCCACCGGGGACTTTTTGCGTCGATTAAATCATTATTAATACATTATCCAGTCAAGGACATCCAGTCACTTTGTCCATCCACTGCAGTGAAGATGACCCGCTCAAGTAAAGTTGTACAGTACTCCTTTGTATGCGGTCATTGGGGTTTATGATGCAACATCTGCAAGGTCGACAACAATCATCAGCAAGCAAAACATAAAGTTTTTTTTTTTTAAAAAGCAGTTAAAGCCCATGTAATGGCATGGGGGGTGGGATTTTTTTAAAGTGCTCAAATGCTTTCGATTTGGTTATTTATGTGAGTAAGCACATAATGGCAGCAAGAGGCCATTACCACAGCGTGCAACATCAGCATGTGTTTTCTGGAGCGTTCCTGTCCCGGTTCTGATTCTGATAACACTGCGACAAAGAGCCAGCAAGAGCATCACTTTCAAACACACACAGAAGCTCTCATCAACGACGGGCGACCTTAACACAGAACATGTTCTACTAAAATCCAGTGAATTTCTCTCGATTTTAGCCCAGAAATCAGTGGTGCAACATGATTCAGCTCTGATGTGTCCATCATTTATCAGTCCAGACAGTGCACACAAAAAATCTGCATCACAAATTAGAGTGGTTTCACAATATTTGTTCTCGCATCAACACTTTGAGATCACTTAAAATAAGTTTTTTGCAAAGTTTATATGATGCAATTAACTCAAACATATCTATGTAAATTAAACATAATTTCAAAAGAGCATATTCAATTTTTTTTTTTAAAAAGCTTTGTTTGAAAGAGAAAATGAAGAAATTAATGTGACATATAAACAAGACTAGTTGATTCCTGCTGTCATCATTACATTCTGCTCATGTGGGCATTTTTTTATTGAAAGGTAATCCACTTAATTGGAGCAGCATCAGCATCATTCGTGTTAATCACAGCTCATAAAAGTGGCAAATAAACTCGTTTAAATTAGAAAACAAGCATCTTTAGCTGGGAATGTGAGGAAAAAAGATAGGGGGGGGGGGGGGGGGGGAGTCCAGACGCTGCTGGGGGAGAAATAACTTTCTCTGCAGCAGATCCCAGCACAGGAGCGGCATTTCAGTCAGACAAACAGAAACTCAGGTACTCACAGATGCAGAGAGGTTCGGAAAGTCCCAACAAATCCTGCAGCGACTGACAGCGACAGGAGAGCGGCGGAGGGGGGAAACACTCACACACGCGCTTATTGTGCTGTTAGTGCCGCTGTTATCTCAAGGGGATTTCCCCCCCACCACTTATTTCCTTCACACAACTTCCCAAAAAATTTGCTTTATGAAATCGCTGCTGGGAGATTCCAGCCAATCAGCGGCCGCCTTGCAAAATATCTCAGCAGGCAGCCAATGGCGAGGCTGGACAAACCTGCGTGTGGGCGTGTCCTCAGGTGCGGAGCGAAGCTATGATGGTGAGTCAACTCTGTTAGCAAACTATGTCAAGACACAATGAAGGCATTTGCATAAAACTTTCACAATATGGTCATTAAATCGACCTTTATTATTGATTAAACTTTGGAATCAATCCAATTCAAGATGATCACCACAGCCAGCTGATTATTGGAAACGCACAAATGGCAATAACTCTGCCAATTTTACATCAATTTAAGTAAATCATTGTGTGGTAGTAGCTGAGAGTATTCTTCAACACATACTCCAAGCATTATACAATGTGCAAGACCTTTGCCTAATAATTTTTGTTGAAATCATTGGCGTCAAACCAGTTTGTCTGTTAGGAAAATATCTCATAAGATACTGGGCTAAATCAAATGAAATTCTCAGAAAGGAATCATTAGGTGTATATCTACAACTGATTAACTGTTGCAGTCATTTCTATTTAAGATGGCTGCCACAGCTATTTAACATTAAACCGAGCATAAATAGCTATAAGTCTATCGTTTTTGCAGAATTTATTCTCAGATTTGATGCTGTGGTAGCTGAGAGTCATCCTCAACACATATTTTGAGGATTAGTACATAAGAGATGTGGCTGTAGTGGCCGTCTTGAATTAAAACTTTGTCATGGAAGGAGGCAGGCGATATGCATTCCTTCATGAAAAGCTATAGGCTATTAATTTTATCATTTTTTGTGCAGCTCCGACAAATAGTTTTGAGCAAGTTTCACTAATTCAAGCATCACTATAACGTTTTAAACTTCATTTTTCTCAATATTTCTCATTGTCATTGTGGAATAAGTTACATCTCTGAACTCCTCACTGTTACTCCAGGGGAAAATATAATTTCTCTGATAAAATATTGTGCCAATAGCATGAAAATATCAAGTATCTTGTGTTCTTTATATATCACAAGTGATACTCAAGAAGCTCCTCAGTTCTTTTTAATTGTGGCCTCAGACTCTGCAGACGGTAAGAGAAGCAAGCAGGCTCTAACAATGTAATTTGGCATCTACAGAACATTGATTTTCATAAGTGCATGCATACAAAATGTTTATTCTCACCTATAAAATGTCAGATTCTAATGGTGATATTGACAAAAATTGTATTTTCTTTTTGCTGTGGCAGCCTAAATGAAGCATAAGAAAGCAATTGAATGCTTTAAATGGCTTCTGTTTTTTTGTGAAGGAATCAGAGCCTTGAAAGGGGAAAGGAATAAAAATGCTCCTCAAGGAGTGAAATTATAACAAATGTTCTCTCATGATTATGAGTAAAATGTTAGTGTTGTTCCTGATAACAAGAAGTGTGTGCGAGGGGGGATTTTGCAGGTTTACAGCTGTCAGATGTATAATTCTTATGTCATGCTCCAACGAGTCCACTCTCCTGGAGTACCCCCAATAAAATGAGTTGTGTGTTCATGGATGTGTGTGTGTGTGTGGTTACGTCCAGCCTGGTGAAATGAGATGTTCACATCCCAAGGACGTCTCCCACCATAATTTAAACTCACTGGTGCTGGAAGACTTCAAACCAAAAGTGCTGAAGTCATAAAACTGAGCACGTCTGTCTTGAATGTTATCGTCTGTGCTCCTCTCCAGTAAATCTGCAGCCAAGTTGCTCTGTGGCACCGACAATGCAAACACAGCGATATGAAGCACGTTGTGACCCAAGATCATTAAAAAAAATCCAACAGGAAACGTATGTTTTTGTCCTGCTTTGTGTGAAGTCATAGACTTCATGCTCCTAATATGTGAAAATACATCATAAGAGGGGATCTTCTACACAACGCTGTTCTGCTGTGCATCATGCCTTCAGCTGTTTGCTCCCTGATCTACAGTCCCTCCCACTGGAGACCAGTGTTTATTTACGAGGGGACAAACAGAAATCTACAAGGCTCAGCTGGAGCCAGTGACAGTATGGCTTTGATGCAGAAAGTGCAGACAACGCCTCGATCTGTGACCAGTGACTGTTTCCATCAGTGCTATTTACCTCAGGTCCATGTCACTTATCACCAGTGTCTTGCTCCTTGTTCAGTGATGATGGAGTTTCATGCTGAGGTTGAAATTAAAACAGCTATAGGGAAGAAGGAGCTTCTGAGGCAGTACGAAAAAAGTCAATTTCTTCTTTAAGGGTTGTTGAAAGACATATAGAACTGTAGAGTCATGATGAATCCTCTCCATGGAGCACTTCTTTCAAAGCATTAGGCTTCATGGTCCCAGTGCTCTGTTCATACTTGCAGTGTGACTTGCATCTATTAAACAGGCAATATGACGCAAACACTTTTTTTTTCTAATTGCAGTGGTTGAGCCTCCATTAGAACTCTGTAAAGCACTTGTTTAATTCCAAATATCGGTCATGGGAAAAATGAGTAAAATAGTGACACCAGATTGTTTCCATGGGCTTGATTTTACTCCAGTCACAATCCAATGAGAAAAGCC